ACACACACACACACACACACACACACACACACACACACACATATATATATATATATATATATATATATATATATATATATATATATATATATATAGCATGCGTGCGTTTGTGCCTGTACGTGTGTATGTACCAGGAAAAGTAGATGCCGAACTTGTCATATTGCTTACAAGGCACGCCATGCAGCATCGCATGTTTGTCACACGGTGGTTTGCTGTGGTTTGCGGTGTGCGGCTTTTGTCCAGTCTTGGTAAACGGGTAAGGGGTGTGGAGGGCTCCCAAAGGGGCTCCTTGATGGTGAAACGCCCCACCCTCCCCCCTCTCACACACGCAAATTCGTCAGCTTTGGCCGATGGATTCCCACCGACATGATTTTGTGCGTGTTTTCTGCATTTCTAACTGGGGCAAGAAGCCATGAAAGATACTGGAAAGCAATTTGCTGTCTGTATTTTATGGCAGGCAATAATTAACAGAAGGGAGGTGATGTTAGATGCCATACAAAATAACGCACCGGTGTTATTCCATTTAAATTGTTAAGCTGGCTCCGTCCAAAGGGATAAGCCCCAGAGCTTTGCCAAGTTTTTGTTCTGAGCTCCGCAGAGATATTCATGACCTCGTGCACAATGAGTGTAGATGGAAATGGGGTCAGCGTTTTTTTCACCTTCGCTAACCCATATTCGTCTGGGGATGTTAAACGTTCTGTCAGAATTTATTAGTGATGCAACTTATGTAACAGTGTTTAGGATACGCACTTCAAGTCTTAGAAGTCTGATCCAATCCTGTGATTACATCTCCTCATGCAGTAATGCATCCTCGCCCAGAGTTTCTATGCGGCAAGTGTATCCTCGATTTCAGAGGTCAAGTTAGGTCACTTCCGGTGAACATAGGGTCTTGTAATTAACATCTGTAATTGTACCGAACATTCAAAACGCAATGGTAAGAAATGCCCGACCCTAGCCCTTATATTTTCGAATGAGACTATTTGAAGTCATCTTTGGAAAAACAGACTTAATTTAAGTCGCGTTCCCCTGGGCTGGAAAATCGCAATGATTGAACGTTGAATGACGCGGTGGGTAAAATGGAGAAATGCATGGAAGACTTCGTTAGGTCCTCACTCAAAAAATTTAAAAAACTGGAACCGAAATCGGCAAACCCAAACTTGGGTTGTACCTACGTTCATGCCTATGCAACCGACATTCTGAATGCAATTCGGTACGTTAACTGAACCTAGTAATGAAAAGTAACGCAACTGAAACTACCCAACTGATCCGCACGCGGTACCAATACGGGTGTGTTTGACATCCAGACCAGTCTTGCGTCTGTAAATTTTAATTCGCTCAACTTGGGGCCGACTTAAAACCAAGAACTTCACTTTTGCGCAACGCTATGGGATACGCTTTTTATGTTTAGGAGACTTGCAGACGTCTGTGCCGAAAGAACCTCGCGGTTAGACAGACATTGGCGGTACCTAATGAGGGTACCGCCAATAATGAAATGCGGTAAATATTCTCTCCACTCTTCCATTTTCTACCTTCGGCTCTTCACAAATATATCTTCCGTGAAACCGCTAACATTTTCGTACGCACATCAACTTGGCCTGTTTTGTCAGACACACGAAAAAGTTGTGTGCATGCAGCTGTCGTCCAACCTCGGTACCCATGATCTTTTAGCTGCATTTCAGTACGCGTGCAGATCTTGTCACTCAACCGAAAACGCCCTGGACGATGCCGTTGAGTGAGCTGTACTCGGATTGGGGTCAAGCACATCGTGGCCGTCACTTTCGTAAACTTCGGCCGTGCCTTTAGTTGTATCGACCATGGCGTCGTTCTGATAAAGCTGCAGTGATATTGTATTGATCCGAATTGGTTTGGGAGCTACCTTGCTGGTCGAAGATGGATGGTGAAAAGCTGAATCTTTCCCTTCTGTCAATTCCCGGTGTCCCTCAGTGATCCGTGGCTGACCCTATCCCATTCAGTATTTTTACGAACGAATATCTTACCTCCTTCACGAATATCTAGTATCCTGTGCCGACCAAACCCAACTGCCAGACCACTCATCCAGACCAACCATCCGTTTTCAAATCACGACAGGAGGAAACCGTTCAAGCGATTAATTCCTACTTCACACCTAACTCCCTTAAAATGAAGCGGACCAAGAGAGCTCTTCCTGGCACTCCACAATCCTGAAAGGAAACCTTATCTTTTCACCTGGACAGTGCGGTACACCAATAAGACCCCTCGTCGCCCATGAAGGTGCTGGGGGGTATCGCAGGTACCTTTTATTGGGAGATGCTTATATCCTATGCTAAAATGCGCAGCCCCATCCTTTTCCGCTTGCATAAAATCCGCCACAACCAACAATATTGGCTGTTTGTGACGAATCACAATGAACAAATTCCACCACAATCAAACCACAGTTAACAAATTCGTCGCCCCAGGTTCATAAACCTATCATTGAGTCCCATGCTCTCATCTTCTGTACTGCCTCTCGGTCTGGGGTGTGGCTGCAGCGCGTCATATAGGGTGCAAGAGGTGATTAACCGCGGGGCCAGGATTGTCACCGAGGCTCTTCAGCAAGATCCAGTGGTGGCGACTGTTCAAGCGCTGGGCTGGCGCGGTGACCTAGTCATCCCCCCTGGCAGCCTCGCTGTGTTCAGGACCCTTAATGACTCGTGGCTTCTTTTGGAGATTCGGTCCCTGTTCACCACACGTACAGCTTAACTCCAGCGTGTCACCCGCGCGGCAGCGATGGGCACCCTGGGTCTGCCAGCCCTCACCCATTGCCAGCACGCAGGTCTCTTCGTATTTACGCGGCCCCATCCCGCTGCCGCCGACCACCACAGCATCTTACACCCACAATGTGCTTTGCGCCAGTCTGGGCGATGTAGACTGCCCTGTTGTGTAATCATTGCTTGTTTGCCGCTTCGTAACATATTCTGACGGCTTAAATTTTGATGCATAATTTATTGTAGGCCAAGTTGTGAGAACGAAGGAACGATCGATAACGTGCGAATCTAGTCGCGCCGTTGTTTTGATATTGCACCCATACTACTGTCGTAATTGTGCCGAGTCAAACAACCCAGCTGTCGGAATAATTTGTGATTAAAATGAGCGTGAACATTACCCAGCCAATGAGAGGTGTCAGTGGAGCTGCCAGTGGTCTTACGCATACCGAGGAAACTCACAACATGTTTGTTGGGTTTCATCAGACGTATTTGTGGACACGTGGGATTTTCACAACGCGCAATAGTCACTTCAGCCGAGTTGCCCAGCTTTAAATGTATTTAATTATTGAGGTCAATGACCTCTCCGGGATAACCACAGCCTTGGAAGGTACACGACATACAGTTCTGGACAGGCAGCCGTACGAGGTTACCACAGATGCATGCCATGAGAAGTAGCAACCATGTCACAATAGCGCAGGTCTTTTACCGTATTGGAGCGACCAGACATGCCTCGCTATGGCAGGAAGACTTTCTCACATGCCAATAAATCCCATACACTAACAAATGCACACCCTGAGTGCTGAGATGCATAAAAATCTACCACTAGACAATTATCAACGTTCTTCTCGACTAGATTCGAAGCGTTCGAGCACAACCAGTGTCAAAAACATCATCAGTAACAACCATGGCTGAAAGGTGTTGAACGCACTGAGCAATTATATAACAGCGACACGACATATTGAATAAGTAGCCAAGGCAATGCTCTCAAGTTGGTATTTTTAAGAGCATATTCTCCTTGGGGGTCACTGGTTAAACTAGCACAAAACAAAATTGTACATACATTTGTATGCGTCTTCTTCCCATGGAGCAAATATATAATTACCCAGTAAGTTCTCACATGTGTAGAACTGTCGACTATGAACGCAGCAAAGACATTTGACGAGGCTACTTAGTTCACTTCAGCTACTTAGTTCAGGACCACGACAGATCTAAGCTCGCTCAGCGTTCTTCTCAACTAGTGAGGAGATAATGCAAGCACATCCAGGGACGCAACAGGTTGGACGTAAGCAACCATTGCCTGGTGAGCGGTGCTATTTTACAACGCTTATCCAGTTTGGAACCAATCAACACAGTCGGAAATGCTTTCAGTCTTTCAGAGTCTCTGGATGGGCTTGCAATACTCATATATGTACATGAAGGTGTGTCTTGACAAACTAGCTATTCACATCATGACATGCAAACAAATATAGATATCGAGCATGTTCTCTACAATAGAACAGGCCTAAGAGCTCTATTGGTATCCGAAAAAAGTCAAGGCATTTCCGATGAACGAAGTTACGTCCAATTCATGGAACGCCGTGATCATGCGGTGCATGATGATTACGGGTTTAAAGCCGAGTACGTGGATGGTGTAATCCAGCGCTCCCACCATCCACCACTGCTGTTCAGTAGTCTGAAGAAAAAAAAGAACAAGTTCATAAAAACATACATCAAGACATGGTACGAACTGGGCAGAAACATTGTGAACTAGTTTAACGCCATCCCATGTGTTACTGATCGAGACACGATAGTCAAGAACGGAAACGCACCGCATATGAGCGTGTCATATTTGCCGACTCACCACTGTTCGAGACATGGTTTTACTAACAATTGTCAATGCAAGGTCCTATCAATTCACAACAAACCAACTTACCTTATTTCTTTGCTGATCCCACGACTGCGGTGACGCTGCCTTTAGGACGACCGCGGTTTTTCGTTACTCGCGGAGGCATCATAAGATGGTGCAGAGGAGCGCCTACATCTCGCCGGGTCAGCTGAGGAGCACCACTGGCAGATGGACCTGCAAAAGGAGCATGCCCGACGGTCAGATTATCAGGGTACCAGCTCAGATCATCAGGGGTACCAGGTCGGCTATCAGGGCTTTGACATCAGATCTCATACCCACCTCCTGGTGGCCTGACCTGGTAATTCCGACCCCAGTAGTCTGATCTGGTGACCCCACACGCTGATGGTCTGATCATCAGGAGCACCAGGTCAGACCACCAGACACAAAGCACCATGCCTCACAAGCAGGGGCATGGGTACCAGGTCAGACCAGCTGGCAGCAGCAGTGCCAGGCCAGACCATCAGTGACAGGGGTACCCTATGAAGTGGCAGGAATACCAGGCCAGACCACTAAGCACAGGGGTACCAGGTGAGACCATCAGGGGCAGAGGTATCAAATCGTTCTACCATGTGGCACAAGTACCAGGTCATATCACCATGGGACATCAGTACTATGCTACCAGGAGCGCTGGTACCAACTCACACTATCAAGCAGTAGTGCCAGGTAAGGCCACCAGGGGAAGTAGTACCAGGTCAGACCATCAGGGGCAGGAGTGCAGGGTCTGGCGACCAGGGGCCAGAGTACCAGGAGGTAGGAGTACCTCGCCAGACTCTTAAGGGCAGTAATATCAGGTCAGGAACCCCTGACCTAGAACTGCTGCCATCTGATGCATCACAGGGGCCTCTTGAATAGATAGTGCCTCCTAACCCAGTACAGGCCCCGCAGGGGCACCGGCTTCGGCCGGTGTAGGGGACTAGCACCCCCTCGGTTCCCAGCTCCGGTAACGGGTGGACAGCGCAAGCTGTGCCTCTCAGGGCGTAGCGACCCTACCGGTACGTGAGCTCCTGCTCCTTGTCCCGCCCGCTCCCTCCACATTACCCGCACTCCCTCATCCGGCCCTATCACCACTCCTCATCCTCGTTTTATCGGGGTCGCCGTGCCCCCTCGCCCACGTCCCCGGGTTGATCGGATCCTGGTGGCTGAGGGGTGCGTCGTGCGGGTCAGTCACGGCGCGTCCCAACACTCCAATTTGGCCAGGATATCCGGGGGCGTGGGGGGGGGGGGGCCGTGGGGCCCCACACGGGTCTAGCGGCTTGTTGCTCGCGTTCCGGTTGGGTGCTCCTTGCGGGTCTCCGCTTGGGGCGCCTGGCCGCGCGCAGCGGCTTAAGGGGTCAAGTGGTGGCGGCGCTGAACCACGGTCAGGACGGGGAGGGGTCTCCCCGGTTACACCTGGCCGTGTGGGAGGCGTCGTTCGCCCCGTATAGCACCGGGATAGCCCTGGCCGTGGCCACCTCCCGAGGGAGTGTTGGGCCGTCCCCCTGTTGGGCTCCGTGGTGGGTGGGGAGCCCCGGTGCCGAATACTCCAAAAACTCGCATGGATTTTCACTCAACCAAGCCCAACGGAAATGACTCTTCAGCTCAGACGGCTCGGCTGACGACGACGGACGACCGTCCCTCTGCTTCGGCGGAGGGGCGAAGCGGCCCTTCCGGCACTGGTGAAACACCGCTGCCACGGACTGATTCCAGTTCCACCCCGTTGGAGCGGACTAGAGGTGGGAGAGTGGGAGTACCGGGGACTGCCGGGCGGGCTGCTCGGTCTTGCCCCCGGGTTCTTGTGTTTGCCAGTAGTGAAAAAGATTTGTCTAGTTTGTCGCCCTTTCAGCGGCGTAGCGGATGTGATCGGCTTGGGAAGGTAACGCGCTGTGACAGGCTTAGAAATGGAGCGATTGAGGTGGAGTTTTTGAATGCGGCGGAAGCGGAAAAGACAATGAAGGCAACTTCATTCACATACACAGTCAGGGATAAAGATGGAAGGCGAGACGTCACCTTACCCATCACGGTGACAGCTCACGAAACGAAAAACTGTTCTCGCGGGATCATTAACTGTGTTGACCTGGAGGGTGTCAGCAAGGAGGATATCGTGGATGGTCTGTCTGGTTTCGGTGTCGTGGAATCTCGTCGGATCAGTCAGGAGAGGAGAGAACTTGGTCCCGACAAACATCATCCTTACTTTCAACCGTGTGGATCTTCCTTCAGAAATAGTAGTCGGTTACGTAAAAGTGAAAGTTCGTTTGTACATTCCCAACCCTATGCGCTGTTTTCGGTGTCTTCGTTTTGGCCATACAAAAGATTACTGCAGGAACAAGCCGTCTTGTGGGAAATGTGCGGAGACTGACCACACTAACGAGACCTGCAGCGCTGTGCGACCGAAGTGTGTTAACTGCGACAAAAACCAGATCCCACACACATGTGACCGTGCTTGTCCGGCGTACTCTCGAGAGAAAGAGATTATCTCCATCAAGTGCCCCCGACGCATCTCTTTCCGAGAGGCACGGGAGATTTACCATAGCTTGCATCCCAAAGTATCTTACGCGAGTGCAGTGTCTAGCTCCCACTCAAACGTGGTTAATCGTGAGGTCAGTTCGGACCGTATGAACTTGACGCAGTTCATCGCACTTCTCCAGTCATTTGGGTTGACCTGCAGACCGGCAGCGGGTTCGCATGCTTCGCCTGCGTCCGCGGCGCCCACCGCACCGCCGGTAGCTGCGGCGCTGGCGGCCCCGTGTCGCCGGCCCCCCCCCCCCCCCCCGGTCGGAGAGACACTGGAGGGCGAGGGGTGGCCTCTGGTTGGTCGGGGTCGGGAGGGGCGCCCCTCCCGAGCAAATCAGACACGTTCCGGGAAAGAGGCGCCGACCACGGCGCCTTCCCCAACAACCGCGAAGCGAACTCCACCTAGCGAGACAGTGATGGGGGCCTTGCGGCGCGGTGAGGTGGAGAAGAGGGCCCGCGAGGGCAGGCGAGCTCGTCTGGTCGAGCAGGCGAGGGTGGCCAGGCGGTCCCCGGGAGCTACCGATTCCTCTGCCCCGGCGGGGGACGGCGAAAAGTCTTCTCCCGTGGGGTTTGCCGGGGCGTCGGTGCCGGCGGTGGCTGGCGGCGCGCCATCCTCTGCGGTGGCTGATGGGGTGCCGTCCTCCGTGGGGGGGGGGGGGGGGGGGAGCGCTTCCACGCCTAGCAAGCGCGTTGGGCCGTCGCTTGTTCCGTCCCGAATGGGCGCCCCACCCCCTCCTCCGCCTTCCGCTGCGCCTGCTCAGTCCCTGCCTCCTCCGGCGACCCCGCCGTCGTCCCCGAGGGGGGTTGGATCCTCCTTCCGCCCCGGGCCGCCCCGCTAAGCGCGGATTGCCCTGGAGAGGCTCGCCGACAGACGAGGGAAGTCCGCGAGCGCGGTCGTTCGAGTTCTGCGGACGGGAGGTTGCGCCAAAGTGGAGGTGTGCACCCCCGGGTACACTTCAGGGGGTTGGGTCCTTCGCCTGGTGCAACGGAACACTTCTAGTCAGCTTAGTCATTTTTATTGTCTGTAACAGTTTTATGCGACCTTTTTACGCAGCCCACGTTTTTATTAGCTTCATAGTTTTAAACTTCATTTTTTAACCAGGTTTTATGCAGGTTATTCTGCAATGGAACTGTAGAGGCTCACAAACCAGTGCCCAGGATTTACACGCTGTGCTCAGTCACCGCTGTCCGGTTGCTGTCTGCCACCAGGAGGCGAAGCTGTCGCCGGATTCTCACTGCACCATCAAAGGTTACTCAATATTTAGAAAAGATGTGCTACCAGACACTGTGGCGCACGGTGGTGTGCTGTTGGCAGTGCACCACAGTGTGCCTTCGCAGCAGCTGAGGCTGCAAACCTCGCTCCAAGCTGTTGCTGCACGGGTACATTTTAATCATCGTCTTATAACCCTGTGCTCAGTGTATTTGCCACAGGGGCTCACTTTTCCATTGGTGCAGCTTAGACAGCTGATGGCACAGCTCCCTCCACCCTTGGTTATCTTGGGAGATTTTAACGCACACCATATCGTTTGTGGCTGTGATGATAGCAACGCGCGGGGACGTTCTTTAGAGCAATTTATTCACGAGGAGTCCCCCTGTGTTTTGAATACGGGATCTCGGACGCATTTTACGTTACCGTCAGGTCAGACGTCGGTTTTGGACCTAAGCCTGGTGAGTCCGCAGCACGCGCAGCTTTTTACGTGGACTATAGCCGACGACCCTATGGGAAGCGACCACTTCCCAGTGTGGTTGGAGTACTGTGACGGGGCGGTCCTCGGTCCTCGACCACGACGATGGAATCTAAAAAAAGCAGATTGGGGTGCGTTTGAGTCTCAGCTGGAGATGAACTTTGGTGCACAGGCCGTGGATGGTGCAAACTATTCGATCGAACACTTCACGTCCGCGCTTTTACGTGCAGCGAACGTAAGCATCCCAAAGACATCTGGAGCTCCTCGTCGCACCCCGGTGCCGTGGTGGACCGACGAGTGCCGAGCTGTTATCCGGGCACGTAGGCGGGCCTTTCGGGCCTTCGATCGTCACGCCACAACCGATAATTTAATCGCATTTAGGAAGGCGAGAGCTTTGACCCGGCGCACGATCCGGGAGGCAAAGCGCGTCTCCTAGGCAAGAGTACGTGGGACGCCTAAATCGTTCTACTCCTATGTGTCAAGTATGGTCGCAGAGTAAGCGTATATCTGGCCAGTTTTCCGCGGTTCCTCTATCCGGTTCTTGAGGTTGGTGGGCAGGACATTTTACACCTTGCTGACGTCGCCAACGAGATCGGCCGTGCGCTTGCGGAACGGTGTGGAGGCGGTAGCGTTGATCCCCAGTTCCTGGCCCATGAGGCGCGTTGTGAGGCAAGTCTAGAGGACTTTTCCACCTCTGTACACCTTGCCTACAACGAACCGTTTACAATGGTGGAACTGAGGGCAGCTGTTAGCAGGCTTCGGAGCGTATCAGAGGGTCCTGACGAGATTCATAACGACATGATTCGACATTTGCCCATCTGCGTACTGGGCGTTCTTTTGGCCATTTTTAATCGTCTTTGGGAACGAGGCGAATTTCCGAACATTTGGCGAGAAGCTGTTGTAGTACCCCTTTTAAAGCCAGGTAAAAGCAGTAAAGATCCGTTTCACTACAGGCCCATCTCTCTTACATCATCACTGTGGAAGCTGATGGAGAGACTCGTCAATGGACGTCTTTCGTGGTTTTTAGAGAAACAAGCCATTTTAACTGATTCTCAGTGTGGTTTTAGGAAACACCGTAGCACGCTGGACCATCTTCTTACCTTGGACACTGTTGTCCGTGCTGCTTTTAAACAGCGTCGCCATGTGGGAGCTGCCTTCTTTGACATAGAGGGCGCTTATGATACCATATGGCGACACGGTATACTTATGAGGGCTTTTAAGCACGGTATTCGTGGTAACATGGGCTA